AAGAAACATTTTATTAATTAATATAAAAATTATGATTTTTTTATCAGGCTTATTGGGTATCATTATTGTATAAGACCTTAGTAGGCCGTGAAGTTTTGGAGATAAAGCTTCAATCCAACAATGAAAATTACGTGCAGTTTTATAGTCATTGCACAAAGCCTTCAGCGCTGTACAGCAAAGGAGCTGTTACGATTTTCGGTACAAATTTAACACCGAAGACAGTAACTATTAGTTTAAAAGGTCTTAAAATAAAAATTCTTCACAAGTATATTTTATTACCAGAGTTTGAAACTACCAATAAAATATTTTCAAAGTAAGTAATTTTGTAATTCACTAATACATTTGTATCAAAAATCGTTTATCCTATTTTTAGCAATATTATATAAAAAATAAAAGTGCTACACAAAATATTTTATTCAATATATTAATATAAATGTAGATAACGTATAAATATAAATAACGATATGTTTTTTCATATGTATACACTTTTTTAATAAAGTATGCAATGCAATATTCATATTTTAATTCATTGTATACTATGTAGTGGATAAATTGTAATAACAAATTTATTTCTAAGTTATAAAAAATCATAATTTTTTCAGGAAAGTTTTATTAAATAATAAACCACTTAATTTAATAAATGACAAACACTTGCCTAATATCTATCCAGAAATTATTATCAATCCTGATGGCCTTGAATTAGAACTGCCTTCTGGTGGTATAGGTTTCTGGATTATACCCAGTGCAAAGGTAATTAAAATTATTAATAACTATATCGCTTATGTATATATGTACATCTTTAATAAATCGAAGAATAATCAAAGAAAGTATTAATTTAACAGGTAAAAGCTTGCACTTGCTCTGAAGAGGAAATAATCGAGAACAATACAGTGAAGAAATTATCGAAACGGCATGAAAATAGTATCCAACAACCCAATCACGAAGAAGAAGATATAAATCAATCAAATTTAAAAAATAAAAAGGTTTATGATAAACAAGATAACAAAAAACAAGAAAATATAAAAAATATAAAAAATGAAAGTCAGCAGAAAGTCTGGAGTTCTAAATTACTTGAAAGAATAAAAAAATTTTTACAAAAAAAACTACAAAAGACAGATAAAAATGAATCCTCCCAAAGATCATTCACAATTAATTTGGGAAAACAAGAAAATTTATCTGAGGAAGAACAACAAAATTTAGATAAAAAAAATTTAAAAAGAACGGAAATTGATGACAAATTTAAGAACATTCAAGATTTATTAAAAAAGTATAAAAGGATTTTACTAGAGAAGAAGACCGTAATGGAAACCAGAAATATTCAACATTTCAAATTAGAAATCGAAAATATTGATAATGTTGTGACATTAATATCAAAAATTGATGCTTTTATCCTTTATAAAATTACTTCAAAGGAGCCAGTTACGAGCGAAATTGAAGACAAAACAAAAAATGAAAGAGAAGAAGAGTCAGTAATTAAAATAAATAAAAAATTAAAAGAATATTTAAGCGAATTAGAAAACTCAGTTGAAATAAAGACAAATATAATAATAAAAATAAAAAAATATTTCAGTAAACTTTATAATTTATTAGAATATAACGACTCAACAAACGACAATACAAATAATCAAGTCCATGGAGATTTAATGGAGCAAGAAAAATTTAGAAGACATTTGGATACAAAATCAGAAAATTCTCAAAAAAATAATATACTTGAAAAACGCTCACGAATAAATAACTTAAAAGATTATGCGATTAAACAGAAGTTACAGAAGATAAAACAGAAAAATGATGATAATATTGATAATTTAAAAAGGAATTTTATTAATAATAAAAATAAATATAACAATCACCTTCAACAAGATCCTCTTGAAAGATGTTTCAAAAACGATGCTTTTGAAAATGCTAACCGTCATATTGATAATCAACATTTTGTCCAAGAATATAATAAAATAAAAAATGATAATATCTATAGAAAGCACTCTAAGATTGGCGATATGGAAAAATATCAAAATTTAATACAAAGACCTGAAAGGATAAAAAGAAACATTAAAGAATTGGTTAAAATAGATCTGAGAAGAGATAGTGCATCCGAGAAACATTCAAAAGACGATTTGACAAATTATGTAAATGAAAGAAAGACGAAGCTGAAAGACGATGTCAGAAGAGAATTGTTGCGTCCATTTAATCCAAGAACTGATAGCGACGAAAATGATTTTCTTGGCTTTTTCCGACGAGATCCTGTCAAAGGATTTCCTGAGGGTGACATTTTTGTGACTGCAGAGGATTCATTAGAGCAAAATGATGAAGGTTACGATTATGTTAAAGATAAAGACGATAATAATGGTGATTCAAAGAAGAATACACAACACAATCAAAAATCGATATTAGACTATGGAAAAGATAATACTTGGATTGAAGAAATTAAAGATGATCACTGCGATTACATGCCAAATGAATTTTTTGAAAATATAAAATCATCTAATATGAAAATAAAAGAAAACTCCAAAAATTATGGTGATCTAGGAGAAGCAGAATTTCTTTCTAAAGTACATAATAACAATAATAATAATAATGATAATAAAATTGCTATTACAGAAGTTATTCAAAAACAGCCACTTAATGAAGAAAACAAAAGACATATTGAAGAAACGAGAATTCAACGATTAGTTCATCACTACGATGATTTAAAAAAACAGGAATATAATCGGGATACACTACAATCAGTTTTTAGATATCCTTCGACGTCTTTTGATCAATTTCTTAAAATACCAAATTCCAATATTAATTATCAAGAATCAAACGTAGAATTTAAAGGAGCGAAATTACAGATGGAACCAGAATCAAAAATTACAAATTCTTTTTATCTACCTTCTGAAACTTCTGTCAAATACAATTATAACGATAATTATCAAACTTCAAGTATGCATTACGATATATTAAAAGATAAAAATGGCTTTGATAAAAACATAGACAGTAATGATAATATTAATGCAAAAGCAAGTGAATATTCTACACCTAGTATGTATGCAGAACATTCTATTTATAATAAAATTTTTCATAATAAAAGAAATAAAAGAAGCAATTGGGAAAAACTTCGAAAGCTTTTTGTTAAAGAAATGATTCAAGAAGATGAAGAAAACGCAAGAGATTATCATTGTAGAGTCATTCGAGATTCTAATTCGCCGAAAAAAGATAAAAATGATAATATTTCAGTTATACCTATAGCCAGAGTTATAGGTACTTCTTCAGAAAACAAAAATGTGAATGCAAACGTAGCACAATTCCAGAAAGATCTTACAGAAGAAGAGTACCAAGAAATTATGGCAGGAGAAATACTTTCAAGTACAAGCGACATTGATCCTGATTATGAAGAAACTGATACAACTACGAAATCTGTAATCACAGAATTAAAAACATTGGATCATAAACTGAGCGAGACAACGGAAGCGATTGATGTAACTTCAATATTAGGACTGGACAATGTTTCCAAACAATGTCATAATGAGAAGAAATCTACTACTAATCTATTACCTGTGGACTCAGATTCGAAACTTTCTCCAAATAATAATAATAGTGTTAAATATATCACAAAAAAAATGTTTTTTCGTACCCTACCAGAAATCCAATCAGAAAACAAGACAAAAACGTATGATTCTCACCAAATTATTTCTAAAATTTCTTCAGAAAATAAGGATCCTCAGGAAAAATTTACTACCTCGACTACTAACAATGCCCAAAAAAGAACCTTACATAACGAAAAAATACAAGAACTCATCAACAAAAAGAAAAAATCCGACAATTCAATCTATTCAACAATTACCGAAGATCAGAAAAACAAAAAAGGGCACAACAATAATTATAAAATGGAATTAAAGTCAACCAATCTTCTTCAAGAAACAACAAAAGGAATTGTCGAGCAAGTAACAACGGAAACGATTTTATTAAAGCGAGCAGCAAATACTGCAAGCGATAACATAAAATCGAATGAATCAATAACAAAATCAAAGTTATTACAAAACACAGAAGATAATCAAAATAGTGAATCTGTTTGGATGCAATTGGGGAAAGATGCAAACACGAGAAGATTAAAGAATATACTGCAAAATCTTCCTCGAACATCGTTAGAAGGACTTAGCAGATACGAAAAAAGTTTGACCAAACGCACAGAACAGATTGATAAGCTGAAAGAAAAATTATATGCAAGACGGGAGAAATTATTGCATCAATATCAAGATGAGCTAACAAAAATTGCTGACGAACAGAAAAGAAATTTGAAGAGAAGAGAAGCATGGGAAAGATTTCGTGGCAATGATGATTTTCATCAATTGATCAATCCAAAATTTATTGGAATACTGTTAGATAATGATATTACCTACAAAGATGACGATGTTACCTATAAAGATGATAATGAAAGTTGTTTAATTCTTATCGAGTTTATTCCTAAACAATATAAGAATATTATAAATCAAATGTATTTACCTGAAAAAACAAAGAAAGTACATTATCCGGAATATAACAAATTTTACCAGGTTCTTCGAAATTTAATCGATAATGATGAAGAACTAGCAGAAACGTCTAAATCATCGGAATTCTTCGATCGTGAAGACAATCAAGATTGTCAGTATTCCTCAAATACAATTGAAGATGAACAAGAAGAATCAACAGAAACTATTTCTACACCTTTTGATCAAAAAGTCTTCATAATTGACCCTTCGACATATTATGATGGTGAACCAATTTTACAGGAGAACAACGTAAAATCAAAAATTAAATCTCAAATTCAATATCCAAAATGGACATTAAGAGATATTCATGAAGTTTTTACAAAATTGAAATCTAGTAAAGCCCAACATCAAGTTTCTAAATCACAAGAATACATAGAAAAATTGCCAATCAAGGATTATTATAATCAAGAACATTCTAATAGTTTACATGTTCTAGATAAGCAAAGACAATACGATCTATCAAAAAAACTCGCAGCACTTGCACAAGAATGGTTAATTTCTCTTAATCAAAGGGATGTCAATCAAGCTAGCAATAAAGAAACAGATAAATTAAACGATGTGCATAAAAATCTTAAAGCAGATAAAGATAATTTGAATTCGACGTTTGCAATAAATAAAACAAAATTTATAAGAAGTTTTGAAATGGAAAGAAACATAGAAAATAAGGAATTTGACAGTTCTAATAATAGAAAAAAAGACATAATGAATTCAGAAACAAATGAAAATGCTGAAGATGTTGTAAAAACTAAAAAACCTGAGAACATTGAAATGATGAAACATGAAAAAATTAATAAATCTTATTCTAATTCAAATGATAAAACAGAAAATTTAAATATTACAATGTTTAACAATAATAAAACAGTTGAACATGTTGAAAATATCATTGAGAATAATCCTACAGAAAAAGAATTTGAAAAAAAAAATTCACGGTTTCGGAGAGATCTTGGAAAACAAATGTGCACATGTACCGAACGATTACCACCTTCTTTTCTGTAACGTATTTTATCTTTTTATTATAATTCTTTATTTATGGAAAAATTTATGATTAGTTGAAAAATTTATTCTTAATTTTTTCAATTCTTATTTTTGTTAGCAGTAATTTGATATTTTTTCTGTTTTTAGGCTAACTGAAAGTATGAAAGAAGATTTAACCAATATGCAAATCTATTTGAAGGAAAATGCCATAAAGAAGATATTTGATATACAACCAATGAAAATTTGTCTGCCGACAAAAAATGGTAGATCATCGAATGCTGGGTTGTACCAAAAATTAAAAAATTACTTAATTTCTTCAAGGAAAGATTTCGAAGTTAATCAACAGAATCAGAAAGAATATGATTTAAATTATATTACACTTACGCCGATTGAAATAAAAAATATTTTCGAAATACTAAATACGAAGAATAATGATGATTCAACGAAATTTTTTGAGATTCTACAATGGGACGATCAGTATGTATTAGAGGCAATTCTAAATTCAATGACCGAATATTTAAATGACAAAACATCAGAGGAATTTGAATATGAAGATCCTTCAAATCTGCAAAGTGAGAACAGTGAAATTTTTTTAGACGAAGAGAATTATATAAACGAAAATAAGCAAGATGTTAATGCAAAAGACAGTGAAATCGAATTAGAAAAAAATGAGCAATATAAAATCACGAATGATGAAATCAATAAATTTTTAAAAAAGAACCAAATAGAATCTAAACCTGGAATGTTTTTATTGCTGCCTTGGAAGAATGTAAAGATAAGGCAACAAAGACAAATAAAAAATGAGATCAATAAAGATCAATCTGAAATAAAACGCGAGGTGAGTTATTTTAATGCAATAGAAATTTATTGAAAAAGAAAATTGACTTAGATATGCCTATATTATTTTTAACTTTTTAGAAACTCTTATTATTATTTTTTACTTATCAAATTTTATTAGTAAATGCAATTTTTTACATTATTAATATATTTTACATTATTATTATATTTTAATACACTTATTTTGTTTTTTTATAAGGTTACAAGGCAATCACAACCATACAAATCCATTCTAGCTGAAGAAAACAAACGTATTAAGAGATATTATTTAAATGACAATACTGATAAAAAAGAAGAAGAAAATATGATAGAGACGAAAAGAGTAAATTATTTACAACCTCAAACAAAAAATCGTGACAATCTGCTTGAAGATTTCATAAAAGCATATAAGAAAAACAATTTATACAATAACGAAACTTCTGTAAAAAATGAAAAAAAAAATGAAATTATACCATTAAATAATATTTCCAAAAGTGATAAAAAAATATTACAAAAAGAAAGGTTACAAAATCATATGGAATCCGTGGGAGAATTTATAAATGATTCCGAGGAGAATTTCAATGACACCTTAGCAAATGAAGACAATCATTTTACAAATAGAACTTTCGGAACTACTGGCAACGTTTTCTATACTGCGATTATGAATATAAAAGATCTTTTTGCATTTCTTCCAAAAATTTCTCGAATATTTACATAACTTTTAAATAACTTGTAAAAATGTAATTATATATTATATTAATTCGAATTCTTAACATGCTCTTCATATACATATACGTATATACATATCTTTATATTTATAATATAATTTATAAAATATATAACTAAACTTTCTACTTACGTACATTAATAATACTTTATATTATATACATATTCTCACATATATTTGTAAATTATAAATATTTTTAATTACGCAGCACCATTTTTTATAGTATAAAATAATGTAAAAAAAATATAATTCTGTATAAAAAAAATTAAAATTAAAATTAAAAACGTAATTTTTAATATTATTTTCCAATATTTTCTTATTTTTTATCTCAGAAACAAAATTCTGTACTTTCATATTTTTGACTTATATTTTCATATAGAATTGTTATACATGTCTAAAACATATCTATTTCTGAAATGTTTCATATTAGTTATTAAGTTATACTATTAAAAGATTTGTATATGATATATCTGTGAATATTAATTAAAAACTATATATGATTTATAATATATATTATCAAATAAAATAAAAAAAAATTGAATGTACATAAAAAATAATAAAAAGATGTATACATAAAAATATACCGTACATGTTACATATATATTATATTAGATGATGATAAATAAACAAAATGCATTTTTTCGATCCTCATTTCGAATCAAATTTTAAAAAATATTGATGTTAACAAATATGCGTTATTCTATATACACATATTTTTTTAAAGCAACTATGTGTTTTTTCCCTCAATTTATTTATCTCATTATTCTATTCATAAAAATATTAAGGTGCGATTATAAAAAAATTAATAGTTTATGAGTTATTTAACATTTTATGTCAATATGTATCACAATAAAGTATAAAATATCTAGTAAACTATTGGTTTTTTGATATCACTATCTTAATACTTTTATATGCAAAATAATTAGAGGAACCATATTATGTAAAAAAATCATATCATTCCGTTTAAAAAAATGGAGGTGACCTTGAAAAATCGATTTTTTTAACTTTCAGTACACAAAAGGGGTTAACGTAACCACTCGAACCCCTTTTCAAGTGTTCGAACACGCTTTGAGCAGTGGTGCTGTGGCGAGGGGGGAGAGGGGGAACTTATATACCCCTCTACAATTCCCTTGCTTGGCGACCTTCTAATGCGCCATTATGTACGTAATTGTACGGTATAAAGTGCATATTGGGGTTATCCTAATCCTTTGCTACAACGTCAGAAAATCCGAAGTTACTGCAAAGTGGAAATGTAAGTAGAAATAATTAATTGAATTATTTATGATTTTAATCATGAGTGCACATCATAAAAAAATGATTTAAGTCAATTTTTTTTATTGTGTTTTTCGTATCAGAAAAATTCTTCTTTTTCTTCTTCGTTAATGACTCTCGCGACAAATGCACCACGATACAGCTAGTATCCAATGTAGTAAAGAGTAGAGATGCATCGGATATCCAGAAAATATTCGGTATTATCCGGCATTTTTTTATTAACCGATCGAATAGATATCATTAGTATCTGAGGATATATCCGGTTGAAATTTGATATCATTAAATTGTTGATTTTTTTCTTATACAAATGTTCTAGAAATAAGCATATTCATGATGCTGTAATGTATTATACATTGTTGCAAAATTACAATCTTTTTCTTTATAAGCTTTTTTTAAAAAAAAAATGTAATACCTTTCCCTTTAAAGTCGCCATTTATTAATAATTATTGTAATTATTAATATTAAATATAACAGTAAATTTTAATATTTACCATAGAAAAACGATAGGATCACTTTCTTTTTATTTCAGTTTTCTATAAAACTGAAAAATCGCTCATTTTCACTTTGCAAAAAAAATCTCGTTTTTAGAACAAATCGTAAAAACGCTTATAGTTTTTTAAAGTTCAACGCATTAGCTGTTGATTTATCACTAATAAAATCTTTTTTTATTTATTTTTTACAAAAAGATGAAGTTTTAAAAAAAAATCGTTTTTTTCACGTTTTTTCTAATCCCTTTTCACTTATTGTAAAATATTTTTTGTGCTATAACATTTTAAACTTTTTAACTCAAAAATTCTTTTTTTTTCAATCTTCAAACGTTAAATTAAAAAAAAATTAGTTAAAATCGATGCACATAACCTGAGATATAAGTAAAAAAAAACGCTGGGTTACAAATACCCGGATGTGTGTAGATAGGGACTGTTAGAAATGTGGGTACTGCGAGTTAAAAAATGATTATTTCTCTCCTTTGAATCATATAATTTTTGTCTGAAACATTTTTCTCTATCGTGTTTAATTTTCGAGATATTCCGGTGATTTGTTTTAGGTGCTCCACCCTGTATATACGTATACCTTTTATGCAGATTGAATAAATTAAAAACATTTTTTTATTATAAACTAAAGCCAAAAACTTTTGCGTTTCAGCGTTCATTTAAACTTAATCTTAAAAATTTATAGAATCGCTTATTAAAATATAATGCAATAATATGTTATCAAAACTGGAAAAAAGTACACTTTATGTAATATTGCATATTCAGCACGATATAATTTAATTTTATAATAGATATGTATTATTTATTATAATTAAATAAATATATATTAGTAAGATAGTAAATAAGAAATTAAGAATGCATTAAATCGCAATAAATGATATTATTCTTAATAATTAAAATAAATTATCAAACTTTGTATTTTAAGGTTACTATTTAATAAGTTAATTGTAGATTTAATTATAAGATTCTGCTATAATTATTTTTTAAAAATGTAGATACATTTTGCAATTGTATTATAATTGTGTTAAAGGATATCATTTATATTCGTAGAATTGCGAGAAATATTATAACTATAAGCAGCAATTTTTAAGAAAATCAGGTCACTAATGATTGAATCAAAAGTTGTTCACACATACGATGCATATTGCGACATAATTAACGAGTTAAATTTCATAACGTGATGATAGAATGTCATTGTACATTCATCGAATCACTGTATGATACAGTGCGCTTTTGATCATGATTGAGTTCAGTTCGTTTTTGGAGACATAAAGTCAGTATAAAGTAAATTTTGCCGTATATTTATATATATATATTGTTTACATCTTTTAGTTTATTTAACCTAATTTTAAAATTATAAAATTAATCAATTATTTAATAAGTGCGTGAACTAATATTTTATTTAACTTATTTAATCTCTATATTTCTATTATAATTAAAAAATTGAATATAGCATATTTATTATTTTTCTTAATGCTGTTATATATTTATAACATATATGTTCATATATTTATTAATATAATTTATTGAATTATCTTAATAACTATTGATCTACATTATTTTAACTTTTATTTTTTCGGTTGTTACATAATGTATGTCCAAAAATATATTATAATTTATTTAATATTTTATAAATATTATTGTAACAGTATTATTTTTTTGTATAATAAAAATTTTTATGTTTACAATCAAGGAACGTGATAATATTCGATAGTTGAAAAGAAGTTGATCAATATGTACGAGAAAATTATTCTGTGCCTTTTGACTGTAATGGTGATTGTTCGTTCGGAAGAAGCATCTACTGTTAAAAATGTAAAAACTGTAGATTTATTAAATTCAAGGTAAATAAAATTTGTTACTTTATTAATTAATTAACCCTTACACGATGAGATCATTAGTGTCTTTTCTTTTCTCATTTTTTTTTAATAGGATAACTAAGAGTATTAGACCAAGTAATGATCTCTATTTGTTTCCTTTGTTTTAAATATGCAATTCTTTATGAATACTTTCTAAAGATGTCAAAGTATCGCTTAATAATTTTCACTTAATAATTTTTGTATACTCGTAAAAATAATGAAAATTAACTCGGGACACAAATGACCTATCGTGTATTAAAAAGGAAAGATTGGAATATCATTGTGTGTACTAAAAATTAAAGTTTAAATAAGAAAAATTCTGATTCTTTTTTTATCCAATTTTATATAAAAGTAGTTCAATTTGTCAAACTGCAGACGTAAAAGTATGTTAGTCGTACTTGCATAATTGTTTGTCAGCAAAATCATTAATGTCATTATCATATTATGTGTCATACACACAATAATCTGCTTCGTCACAACAAACTGCTGAATTGAAAATTTTCGATTTAGAGTTGTCTCATTGCTTCATGATATCGATATAAGATATAGATAAAATAATGTAAAATAAAAAAATATTGCTTAAATAATATCCCGTGTACGACTAAACTAAAAAATAAATAAAAAATAAAATTTTGTACATGATTTAAGTAAACTATCCAAACAATTAAAATTGTTATCATGTGATGTCTTTTATTGTCATCTAATTTAGGTATATAATTGTTAAATACTTATATATTTATATAGATAATATTAAATACTTATATAGATAATATATTATAATTGTCAATACTTATATTTGTTCGTGTTGCGTATACTTTTTGAACTTAAATAATCTTTGTTTTTTTTTTAATGTTCGAATATACACTGCTCAAAAAATTATGGCATAGAAAAATTGTGGGCAATAATTGGCCAACATTGACTAACGATAATTTTGCAAAAAATTATCGTAGAATAACGTTGTTTTTTTTAAATTAAAGCTTGGAATTTTAATACGCCAGATTTTAAGTGTAATGCACCCCTGCTACTGTAATTCTCAAAAATATGAGGGTGTATGCGTGTGTGCGTTGTACGTTTGTCAAATTAAAAATTGCAAAGTTTGACTGAATGCATAGACTTTGTAAAATTTTTTTGAAGAATGATGTTTGCATCGGCATAAAGTATGAACTTTCCCCTTTAATTTAAAAAAAAGAAACAAGTCACTGCGATTTTTTTTCACAAAGTTACAGCACTTTAAAGTTACCCTTGCATTTTTGCACATCGTGTTTCTACGTGTAAATTTCAATAACACGTGCTTGATTACTGCTTGCAGTCGATTCCTCATATTTAATGCAGACCTTAATTTCTTCCTGCGGAATGTCATTCCAAATTTGTACTAGAACTTGTGGTAAGTCTCTGAGATTGATGGGTTGTCTTGTTAAATCTCTTAATCTATGACTCATTATCAAGTACAAATCTACATACACGCAGAAACGTGCAAAATCCATCCAGCATCGTCGTGGTACATATCCGATAATGCAAATAATGCATTATCGGAGTATATGTAAAAAATGTAAGGATAATTTTAATGTGCTGTAACTTTGCGAAAAAAAATCACAACTCGTTTTTTCTTTTAAATTAAAGAGGAAAGTTCGAACTTCATGTCACTGCAAATGGCATTCTCCAAAAAAATTTTACAAAGTCCGTATCAAACTTTGCAATTTTTAATATGACAAATACACACCCTCATATTTTTGAGCAGTGATGCATCAAACTTCAAAAATCTGATATAGCGTCTTAAGTAGAGATTTCAAACCTTAATTAAAAAAGAAAAAAAGTTATTCTACAATAATTTTTCGCAAAGTTATCAAAGTTGCCCAATTTTTGCCCACAATTTTTTTATGCCATAATTTTTTGAGTAGTGTATTTACTTCGTTTTAAATACAAAAATTTTTAGAGATTTTAAGCAATGCAAATAAATCTTATATAAATTATCGTTCAAAAGTTTGGAAGCACTATTTTGTCTTTTAAAACAGTAGTGTCAATACTTCTACAGAAAAATCCAATATGGAAAATTTAACTATTTCTATTTTTCTTTTAAGTATTCGACAAACTATTATTTTATCTAATCATGTTCCAGGAAATATTTCATTTAAAGAATTTTACAAGTTAGTCTTATAAGTTAGCAAAACAAAGTGAGCAAAATCAATTCTAATTAACATTTTTATTTGTTGCTAAAAAGTTGTCAAAAAAAAATTTATTGCTCTGCAAATGTTCTGTTGTAGAGAAAGAACAAATTTTCGTGATTTGAGTAAAATGTAATTGTTTATTTACATGTTTATTATTTGTTTATCAATATAATTCAATCGCATTCTAATAATAATCACTAAAAATGAATAAGTAAAATGCTTCGAATTCGAATAGTAATTAAAAATAAGACATAGATATTTTAATAAACTAAAAATATAATTAAAATTCAGATATTAATAATTCATCTTAGTAATTAAGAATTTAAATTATTGTAAATTGTAATTTCGTATAGTATATAATTAAAGTATATATTCTTATAATAATATATTCTTATAATTAATATCATTTTATTGTATTTTTTTACAAATTTTCAACTGCTTCCAAACTTTTAAACGGTAGTGTGTATATATATATATATATATGTGTGTGTAATAAACATGTTAAATAAATTAACAAGTCTTTCTAAACAAATATTTTATTATTTTTAGATTATCGACAATTCTACCCTATCCATATAATGACGAACATCTTATAAAAAATAATTTAAAAAGATTATTCATTTTATCAATGCCAGTTCGACGAACACAAAATGAATATGAAAAGCCAAAGGAAATGATTCAAAAAACAAAGCGTTGCGGTACACGTCGAAGAAATAGATTTTTGTTATTATCGACAAAAGAAAATAATAATAGAACCAGAACCGCTAACAAAAATATCAACGTGGGAACCTTCCAGCAAAATTCAGATGACCATACTACAAAAAACACAAAATATTCTCAAAAAAATTCAACAACATCAAAAAGAATGGTAGCTGTTACAAATGAAGATAAAACTCTTCTACAACCATTTAACGATAATCTAAATGCGAAGGATATAACTATAAATTTGAAATTTCCAGAAAAGGCAAAGAAATGTAATACAGAAAAATATATTTGTCATTGCGAAGAGGACTGTTCTTCTAGCTCATCAAAAGAAAGTTCTTCAAAAATATTAAGTTCTTCCAAAGACGAACCTGAAAAGATAAATCATCAAAGAAGACTAACAAAACATAAAAACGCAAAAGCAAATATCTTACAACAACAATTGCCAAAATTATATCATGAAAATCCTTATGAATTGCCTTTTTCTAATTTAATCAATTATTTCCCAATACAATCTTATCCAGAAAAAATGAATATCCCGCCTGTACCAATTCTATATGGAATAACGCCAAATATTTTATCTCAGATAGTTGGAAATGAAGGAAAATATGTTGATGTTGGAATCCCTTTTATTTCATTTCAAGACAGGCAAAATTATTTAGTTGAAAATAATCAAGATCAATCAGTTATTCATAAAAAACCGTGCGTTTGCTCACCTGTAATAACCAATTCGGTTGAAAGTTCCATGTCAGTTACTAATTCACCTTTGACAGATTATGATGATGCGATAACTAGTAGGGAAACAATAAATGATCTTGAGTCAAACAATCCAATTGGTGTCACTGAAGAAGATCAAGAACATTTTCCTAAATTAACCACAGAAATTTCAAATGTAGATGCATCGGTCGATTCAGAAACAGAAACTAATTTAATGAATTATTTGACTGATGCAACGGAAGAAGATGACACTATAAGTTCTTCTAATTTAAATAAAGTTATGCAGAAATCAAACGATTTTACCGAACAAACGGAAAAAAATTTAGATGATTTTTCTAAGTCAACAACATATTCGGCAGATGATGTTGATACAAGCAGCGTTACCTATGATATAACGAATGATGGAAAATTTATTAACATGGAAGAATGCATAAAACTATTTGGTCGCGATGTGTGCGTGCTCAGTGCAATATCACCAAAAATATTTGCTAAACAGGCGCAAGAAAATCCCAACAAGTATTCTGCGATTAGAATTCCGGAATATGTCACACAAATATCCCCTAGAGATGACATTAATCATTCAAATAAACTCAAAGCGACTGATCCGCACTTTGCATCGAAGTCATCCACTGATAAAATCAATAAGTCAAATGTTAATGTAAATGAATATCTTGAATCAACAAGTATAAAATCGAATGATGATAACGATGAAGCTTCTCTGCATGAATTTCATCCAGAATCTAAGAAACAGATTTCTAAGTCAGATATCAACTATGATAAAAGTACACCACTTAATACTGTAAAAACTACACATACTTCAATCAAGAAATTGATGGATCCGACAATTGATGAAGCTACAACGACGGGAAAAAGAAAATTATTAGGAAAAAGTAAAAATCATAAAACTAAATTATTATTAAATCCAAATGATGAGGAAATAAATCCAACATCAAGTGAGAAATTTCTTTACTTTACTCCTTCATATGAATCTAATAGTGATGAAGAAGCAAATAATTCGAAAATTAATCAACAGAATCAGGAAACAAATATAAAATCTAATTCAAATACTTCTCAAAAAGAGTCAACAACAGTTATTAGTTACGACTCTAAACTCGATCCTAAAAAGCAAGATAGAAACTACTTAAAAGAATCAAATGCGAATATTTATTCTAAAAAGAAAATCCCTCAAGAACATTTTGAAGAAGAGACTATAACTAGCTCTAATCCCAGAACTAGAGATAATTTTGTAGAGGAAATAAAAAAAGAAATAATAGGAATAGAAACCAGTATCAAACCAGAAGAAATTCCTCAAGAACAATCTACGACAATGCAATATTTCAACGACAAAAAATCAAGTAATTCAAATAATAAGGAAAATATCACCAATAGTATCAAAACGATCGATTCATCAACAAATAAATTACCATTTTGTGATAATAGCTTGCTTTTAAATTCTATCAGGAAAGTCATTAATGACTTTACGTCGAATACTCGTTTAACCAAAACAAAAGATTTTGATGAAAATATTCTTCAGACGCAAGGTAAAAATTTACTGCCAGAAATTCTGCAAGTTCCGAATTTAAAGGACATCTTGTCGATGCCGCAGATAGAAAATACAATCGTAGACAAAGTAAAAGATGTTTTATCCTACGTTACAGCTATTCCTAGAAAAGATTTCACAAACGATTGGTCACATGGTGTAATTAAAAACACTCTACATAGCATATTAAATACACTGTCTGGTTTTCGTCACAAGCTTCCACCGATGATGCTTGAAGAGCATCAATTTAAAGATGGACAATGGAAAACTCATTTAGTGACCTTAGCACCAATTTTGGACCAAAAATTATTGAAAGCAACACCGAAAAATTTACGTGAGATCATTAAAGAGCTTTTAAACTCTCCGGCAATTGCATCGCAAATAGACCAGAATATTGTGCGAAATATAATTGTACAAAGTGTGAAAAATAATTTATCTAACGGTAAAGATGATAAAATAGATGATTTGATAATTAATGTACTAAATAACATTCTCCAGATGCCAAAAAATTCAGAAGATACTGATACGTTAGAACAAAGTAACGAAATTATTAGTGACGAGGCAGATATGGATATGATTAATATGCAAGAAATATCAACAAGTAATTACAAAATAGAAAGTAATATTGATAATCCAATATTAAATAGCAAACAGAATGTTGATGTGAAAAAACAAGATACAAAAATAGACAATAAAGGAATACATACCACAGACAATCAGAAAGCTAAGACATTAGAAAATAATGCAGACATATTGACTATTTCTGAATTTCCGCAATTGTTACATTTATATGAGAAAAAAGAAAAAGAAGAATCAATAAATGAAGATAAAATAAAAGAAGATGTTACAGATCAAATTTTAAAGAAGATAGATGGACAAGATGATGCAGAAAAGAAAATAGCTGAATCACTGAAACCCAAAATAATTTATCACAAAGCTATTTTACAAAATAATCTTAGCGTATTAGAACCAAATTCAACAGGAGCTGAACAATACATAAAAAATCATCCCATCGATAAAGAAAGTAATGAAGAAACAATAACGATAACGAATTTTATACAAGAAACACCCAATTACGTATCGGATAACAAAATTTTAGAAAATACAGTAGGAGCTAAAGATGCCGAAGAAGAAGTAAATCATACATTAAGTGAAAACACATTGACTACTACAACTGATAAGATTGATCCACTAATAATATTAGAAAGAATTAAGTTTAATTTGCCACCAATAAAGTATTATTCACCTGAGATTTTAAAATATGCAACAAATCGTATCGATGATAAAAATGTTGAAATTACAACAGCGTCGATGAACTTTATACAAAAACCTTCATCCAATTATGCACAAGACGACATACCTTTACAAAATACAGCAGAAACTAAAGACGAAAACGAAATGGAATATCTAAGTACTACAGATGGTAATTTAATTTCATCCACAAATGGAGAATATAGACCTACAATTATTTCTTTAACAGATAATATTTTAGAACCACAACAACAGAATTTGACAGAAAATAATATCATTAAAATCCACGAAGTTACTACGGAGATTCAAAGAACTTATGCAAAAACTACGTACTTCAAGGCAGGACTTTCTGGTGATGATAGTTCAAGAACTAATTCGCCCTCATTAACTGATAAAACTACAAATATACGTATAAATAACGATAATGAGAATAGTAATGGTAATAGCGATAAAGATAATAACAATCTAATTAACAAGATAAATAATAATGAAGATATTATAAAAGAAAAAAATGTTATCGTTTCTTCTTCTAAATCGTCTGCCTTAAACGATATCTACTCTGCTCAGTTATTTCCTTCATCAATTGCTTCCGATATCTCAGAACTTCAGAAGTCGCAACTTTATTACATCAATGATGATGGCGTGAAACTACCGCTAGAGATAAAGAGATTGGAAGATGGTTCTTATGCATTATTGATCTCCAAAAATGTATGCGAGCAGATTCTAACAAGAAAATGTCCCTGCTGCGTGCCGCTGCAAGGACATATAGTTCGATCATCAAAAAATCACCAACAAGAAGATATACATGCGATGACAATAAATACGGAAAAGAAAGATCAAGAAAATGTATTAGGAAGTAACAATTTTCCATTTCAATCATTTAATACAGTGACGAGAAGAAATGCCTTGAGAACACAAAATTTAAAGAAAGAAGAAGAAGAAGAAAAAGAAAGAAATAACGAGCATCATTTATGGAAACTAAATGATGATAATTTCGCAATGATTTCAATGCCTGTCATCGATTTCGCAAAAAAATACAATTTATTGCTTGATTTCAATGAAGAAAGAGTATTATTAAATAAAACCGAATTGCAAAACAAAATACTAAATTATAATAAGTCAATAATAAACTCCGTAGAAGGATTTAAACGTCAATCAGACGAAAAGAATGTTAATAATTATGACAATATAAAAAAAAATGGATTATTGGATGAAAACGGATTATTGTATGAAAATAACGAAGCAATTGATGAATTTTCAGATTTGATAAATTCTCGCAAGAAAAAGAATACTCCAAATATGAATTTTCCAGTATCTCCAAGTACTCAAAAAATTTTTAATTTGAGAAAGGATTCTAAAGAATTTGAAATACAAAAAGCAGATACAGAAAAGAATCAGTCGAAAATAGATCAAGAATTAAAGCTATCTGAAGTTGAAAATACAAACAATGTTCAAAATGTGAATATTGTACAGAAGATAAATTCCGAAAATCAAGGGAACCCTGTTCTTAAAGAAATTAATATTTCCGAAGAATCCAAAATGAGGAAAGAAGAAGAAAAATCGGACAAATTATTGGATACTGTAGAAGGTAATTAATATAATTTGATAAAAAGATAAGAAATATATAAAAAGATAACTTTGTTTTAGGAAATAAGATTTTTTGAAAGGAAAATAAGAAGCTTGAAGCAACAAAATTGATTAACAATAATTATAACATTTCAGAAAATTTTAGAGGAAATATTGGAAAGCCGTATAGATATCAACGAAATGCGAATTACGTTGAAAATAAAAGAACAGAACTAGTAAAATCGATGCTTTATTGGCTTAAAGGACTTTTCGTAGATAATTAAGCGGTAAAGAATGAGATTGAAAGCTCCAAAAAATATATACATATACAATGTGTATGTAATACATCAATAATGTAATATTTATTACAATACTCTTTATATATAATATTTAATAATCCTTATAAATATTGTATATTCAATTATAACTTTTGGTTGCTATATTTCATATTAATTTATAATAATTAAAATTATTTTTGATAACGTTAAATATTATTAATCAAAATGTAGTAATTCTTTCTTAATTATTAAAATTTAAAAATAAGCATTTTTAATTTAATTCAATTTTCACTTCCCCTTTCCCAGTCACAAATGGTATTATGGTAACTCATAGATCTCTATCTATTCTTTATGTTTTTTTTTTTAATAATCAGTTCTAACCCATCCATTTTAAGGCAACGAATTTACGAAATATAATATTTTTTCACAATAATTTATTGTTATTCGACATACGCTGAAATATATTTGATCTATATTTGACACAATTAATCGTTGATTCGTTACCTCAATAAAAAAATTTCTGACTCACCAATTCGATGCGCAACGAGCGGAATTATTTAGCCAGATATCTACGATGATGCTGTAACACACAAACATAAGATTCTAATTGAAGACATGCTCAAAATGATCAACATTTCAAAAGATAATTTTTACGTACTTAATTCAAACTTTTTATTCAGTTTTCAATTACATATTTTATTACAAATACTTGTCGATTTACGTAGAGCATATGTTCCACGTAATTTTTTTACGGGATTGAAAATCGCATAAATGGAGTCTGCCAGTAAAAAAAAAACGTTATCAAAATATCTGTGTATGTCGTAAAAATATTTATTTTACATATTTGTACAAAAATACAAATAGTGAAAGTTTAGAAAAAAATTTCGCGCAAAAAAAGGGATTATTTACCACGTAGAAAAACTACATGTAAAAAGTATCGCAAGAATTGAGGAATGAGTGTAGAATATAATTATCTATTTTCCGAAAAAATATTTGAAACAAGAATAAACTTTCATAAAATTTTGAAATGGTTTCTCTTTTTTTAATTATTAACTTATCAAGATTGTAAAAAAAGAAGCTCGAATAAATGGGAAAGAACTGTTATTTGAATGCAGATAAGAAATAATACCTCAAGGTTATTCCGCCAATGTCTCTCTCAGACCACCTCCTCCTCTCAGGATTGGATTGTCATTCTCTCGCACAGGACACTCGCGAAAAACACTCGCGGATAATATATTACAATCGCGCACGGACTAATCATTAATAAAGTCTTTCGCGCGATACCAACTCCACGTTATTAAACCTATGATGGGAATCGTAAAAAGTCTATTAGTCCGAGAATTTTAACGGCACTTCTGATGCAAAATGCGCGACGCGACGAACCGGCTGCGGTTCGTTCATTTTCACTTAAATCGGCGACGAGGGTACGTTAACTTTCCCATCAATGGATTTTTACACAAAGAGAACAATTTTGCTTAAGTATCTAAAAATTTAGTTAGATACATAATTTAGATAAATCCGAAAATTTATAGACCCTTAAGAAAAGACATGTTTTTTGTGTATTTCCTCGAAGTACTAAGCTCTTCTACCTCATCAAAGTAGTAGGAAGGGAGATATCATAAAAAAAAATATATATTGTTATTGATTTACTTTTAAATATGAATATCGAGCACATGTTAGTTCATTATTATTGCGAAACAAACAAGTAGAAAAAATGAATCTTTTATTATAATGTCTGTAAGATTAAGATATCAATTGAGTAGGCCAGATATTAGTAAGAAAGAAAAATAATCCTTCTATTATTAGTTTATTATAACCGGCAGACAATCACAATAAAGTTATGCTTTCATCGTTTACGCACTCGCGAAAAATGCACGAAAACGAGAAATTATTCGCAAATTGTATGACTCGCGTTATTTTCATAAGGATATTTATTAACTCTTGCTATACACACTTTTTTTTCTATCATTAATATACATACTCGAATCTCTGGGACCCCATTCATATTTATTACGTAACTTCCGTAAAAATAGACATAACGTATTTCAATTAATTTTTTCTTCAATCGAGAATTGATTAAAGAATAAATCCATGATGTATAAAAGTCAATAGAATTAAGAAGTTTCGAGATATATTATTAGAGATTCAAAGAAAAAGAAAAGTTCAGAAACACGAAAAAATTTCGATTTAGCAAATTGTACTGGGATTTTTGGAACTCCCCATTGTGTATAGGAATTCCATTACTCTTTTTTCTAACTCATATACCGTTCAAAATATATATGTATAATAGATAAAAACAAAAAATATTAAACAAAGTCGAGCCAAAGATGCTTGACAGTGTAAATTAATATTTAATCGGATAATTACAATTTAAAATACGTTTCGTATAATAGATAGTTACATATTTAAGTTACATATTTAATGAAAGAAAAATTTTATCTTAACGAAAAATAATTATCGTCCACAATCATTGTAAAACAATTATAAATTCTCTTCTTCATCGTGTTTCAATTCTAAACGAATACATCGCACGAAATATGTTCGTTAAATATATATATTCGTGATTCACATGATTGGCTCGATCCATTTACGAATAACTAACAACTATGCGAATTAATAATCTTGTGCTATGAACGAATATAAAATACGTTTAATATTATATCTAGCACTTGTCGTGATTGCGAAGAAGATTGACGTCCAAAGTTGAATGATAACGCGTCGACAATGTCGACATACGTAAATAATGAGCTACCCGCCTGCCGCACCGCGCAAAAACAAACATCAAGGCTACGCGTCAACCGTGCTATATTTGAAAAAAACAAGGCTTTGTAAAATTTTCACTCTGAATTTACCATTTTATACAAACAAATTTTACTTAATTATCATTACTTCAATTATATTCATTATTGCCTTAACTATTACATATTTCCTCTTTAGTTTCATAAATCGTATGACATTGTTTAAAATATCGATTAAATTCCTAAATTTTTATTAAAATAAGACTCATATATCTGCCTAATTTGCGTGTAACAGTACAAATTTTCTGTTAATTATTGCCGAATAAATGTCTGTTTATCGCTAGTATTAAAATATGAATAATTAGAAAGTAAAATCATTAAACTGCGAAAATTAATAACACATTATATTATATTATGTATTAATAGACGGGGCTCGGTCGTATTTAAAAAATAAAGATATTTAAAATGTATTTTATTAAAAAAGATGAAAGACTTATTTAAAAGTTATTATTTTAACCCTTAGTATACACGTCTGAGTCATTCGTTTGTCCTGCCCATTTCTTTTTTTTTTTTTGAAATAACTAAGAGCACCTGGCCAAATATCAGTCTTTTTTTCTATTGCTAAAAAAAGTTTGGCATCTATAAAGAACAAGTTTTCAATTAATCCTCGATTGTATTACGAGAATATTTTGCGAATTATTAAAAAAAGAATTTAACCCTAAAACAATTAGCCCTTAATAAACGCAATTTTTGGTTCTAAATGTTGTTAGTAATATAATATATTACATTGTCTGTAATATTATAGATAACTTTTTCCTAATAAATTATAAGTTTTTTTAACACAAATATATATGTAAAAATTGTTTAATAATTTATATATACTTGTAAAAGTGATGAAAATTAAGCCAAGACACGAATGACCGAACGTGTGTATTAAGAGTAAAATAACTTCTCTTCTGATTTATTTCTTAATCCTTAGCACACTTAGTTTTGGGCAACCTTACGTAATTCGCATTCGTAGATATTTCATTTTCATAAATTAATGCGACACCCGGAACGACTCGTATCACACTTCCGTCTCCCTCTAAGATCGCCGAGCGAATGCCGAAGTGATGACGTAGTCAACCACCGCGTCGCGCGTCGCGCGACACGCTCTCCCCCTCGCTTTTCGCCACCCTTCATTGTTCGCTGTTCGGATACTCAACTGTCACGTATGAAAAAAAAAATTCACGGTTTATTCAATTATTCATATTTTACAATTTACATGATTTTGACAAACGGGTATCGTCGTATATTTCGCGCTTTGCTTTGTGGCATCTCTGGAACTTACAATTCAATCCTATTTTACTTGTATGGTTTTTTTTAAATGTAATTAATAATTGTTCGCGTGGGATATTTTTGATATTCCAACATCATGTCTCAATTTTCATTATTCTTTTTAATGATTCATATTTAAATAAAGATTGATAAAATATTCTATGTATATTTTATTTATGTAAAGATATATGTAAATTTTCTAAATATTGTAAAATAATTTGCGCTAAATATAGCTTCAGCTAAAAGTATTAAATATCTTGTTAATCATTATTTCATTTTTCGGTTAATAAATTAACTTAAGACACTACTGCAAATTATTCTGTGTTTCAGAAATTCTTTAAACTTGCGTATAATGCCGATCATGGCTCAGTAAAATAACTGTTACGAATTATTTAAAATAAAAAATATAAAATAAATTCCAGAAACTTATTATTTAAAATATAAAATCGTAGGAATCAATAAAAAACTGATACGATTCGTTTAATATATAAATAATAAATATCATGTAATATTTAATTTATCTCAAGTAATATAAAATGATGCGTACGTTATCAGCAATTATAAAAATTATGCCCACCTGAGGAAGGAGGAGAGGGAGGAGGGGAATGGGGAATATTTCACATATAATTATATATATAAAATTGACATTTTTTTTACATACAATTATATATATACATATATAATTATATATATAAAATATGTTCATATATATAATAACATTTTTTTCCGGGCAATTAACGAAAATTTGAAATAGATTAAGATTTTTAGAAATTCGCGTTAACGAATGTGAAAATGTATCCTTTTCAATCCAAATGTATTTTTATTTATTTATATAAACTACATGAAGCATATTTCTGTATCTTTTAAAAAAATAATAATATTAATTCTTTCTGCGCGTCGTGATTATTGCTCGATTCAAAATTGTGAATAGAAAATGCAGTATTTTAATTCAAATGAATTGAATTAAATTCAATTGAATACAAAATTTTTTTTATTCAATTGGATTTAATTGGCTTAAAATATTTTGATTAATTTTAATCCATTCTCGATTAATGAATGGATAAGATTTCATAAAAATTAAAATTAAATTGGCATGATATAATAATAAATATGATTAATAATTATTAGCATATTTTTTAGTATAAATAAATATTTCAAATATGCTAAAAAAAATTTCCCGGGAAAAAATATTTTACATATAATTATAAAATTATATATATTATATATATTATATAAAATTATATACATTTTTATATAAACTATATAATTTTTTTTTATTTTTATACAATTTTATATAATTATATATATATAAAACATTTTTTGCCCGGCTATTAAATATTTTCTGTTGCTTTTTACTTTTACTTACATACAATTACATACAAATTGAATAAATATTTCCTTGTATGTAGTTCATATATCTATAACGTTTAACTTTGAAAGAATATAATAAAATGTCAAAAACGCAAATCTCAGATTTATTTATTTTATTTAGAAAATACTTTAGAAAAGAAAAGAAAAAAAATTAAACCAATATACCTGAATATATTATAATATTTTTTCCTAGCTTATAAATAATAATTTTTTTTTATTGCACATATAATAAAAATATAAATATATATCAGTATCTCGTTTTAATTTGTCATAGTCCATATCATATTTTATCGTAATATATTCATCATCCATTAAATATCTCAAATTAAAATTAATCTTCCGCGAATCAGGTAAAGTGAACATATATATACTTAACAAATCATATATATATATATATATTGGGTCATCTAAAAAGTATCCGCGGTTTTTGGTTACTAGATGTGTGTTGATGGTCATATATCTAGTGACAAAAAACCGCGGATACTTTTTAGATGACCCAATATATGTGTGTAATGCATATATGCTGTACTTCACGTATATACCATAAGTGTACTATTATAATATTATAAATTTAGTTTGGGAATGTAACTCGCAGCTCCACTTACTCATAATAGCAACTTGCGTTTAAAATTGTAGAAGTTTACATTTTGCTGGTATGTCACACTTCACTTGGCTTTCTCTCTCTCTCTCGCGCGCGCAAAGATAAAAAATTAGACTCCAGAATACAACGCCTAACAATGAAATCATCGCTGAGCTGTCCGAAGTAGGGTTCCTTTTTTTCAGAATATTCAGTCGCACTCGCGAAAACAGTTCAATTATAATCGCGTATACAATAAAAATACGATGATTATGTATTGAAACCTTGAAAAACACGAAAAATTACGTCAAACGATTTGAAAATTTCTTAAATTCGACGCATGGTGGCGCCTGAGGCATTAAGACCGATATTTCATGTGTCATATGACAAACTTTTTCAAGTGATTTGTTGATTGGCTGTAGAATATAGAAATTCTCAGATCTTTCTATCTTGTTGTTCAATCAACAAACTTGAAAGCTTGTCGATTTCAAGGGTACTGGATAAAAAGAGAGAGAAGGAGAGAAGGAGAGAGAGAGAGAGAGAGAGAGAGAGAGAGAGAGATGCGCAAGATTCGACAAGAGACTAGAGTGCGCTAGTATAGTATTGTCAGTTCATTGGATACATTGTGCATCTGTGCATACTTATTGAATTTGCTATTAAACGTCAAAAAGCACGAACTGCAGTTTCAAGTGCGACTTGGATCTTGATTAGAACTTAAATAATTAATATTTTTTAACATTTTTTTGTCATGTTAAACATTAAAATGACGCCGAGAAAGAGACCTATAATATTGAAAAATTGAGAAAAGATTTTTCAGCCATTTGTTAATATTAGAAGTTTAACTGAACTAACCTACAAGATGGACAAAACTAATCAGTCTTTAAAAGAAATGGGTATCATAGATCCTAAGAATCGAATCAAAGCTCTTACAGATCATGCTTCGAGAGTAGTAATTGATCCGAATATTGCGCCTAAAAGGTAAGAAATATATTCATCATAAGCAATTTATTGTATATAATAAAATATATTATTTGAAAAAATTAATTTCAAAACTACTTCAAATTTATTAAAATTAAAAAAAAGATTTTTATGAACAAAAAATTAGAATTCAAATGTCTGACTGTAAAATAGTTTTAAAATTAAAAAGTATCTTTTTTTATATGTTTATTATAAAAATATGTAATTGTTTTACTACATAAATTTATGCATAAATATTATAAATATTAATAGAAATATTGTATAAATAATAATTGCCAATATTCAATTTCAAAAGCTATTTAATTTTTTAACGTGATATCTTTAATTGTAGATATTATCGTACAGGAGTGGAAATGGTCAGATTAGCAGACATGAATATGCAAGATGGCAGTTATGAAAATGCTTTTACATTATATATGAAATTTATAACGTAGGTAATAATTAATAATAACTTGTTATGTGTTATATATAATAAATATATTTTTTTAAAGATCGATGAATGTATAAATTTAATTATATTTTTAAGAAATACTTATGTTATTACTAACTATTAAAATAATATATTTTTATAATATATTTTTATTGCTAAATATTTCTTATTGTAATAGACTTTTTGTGGATAAAATAAGGGGCCATCCGCAATATAATAGCGTATCAGCCAAGGATAAAGCAATGAATAAAGATGCTCTACGAATAGTCATTCCTAAAGCTGAAAAACTGAAGAAACAGTTATTAGAGCAATATCAAGCAGAGTTCGATAAGTATTTAGAGGATTTGAAAGAAAGAGAAAGGATTGAAAGAGAGCGTTTGAGACAAGAAGAACTTCAAAGGTATATTTAATTATCTTATATATTTGTTACAGTAAAAGCATGAAATTAATAATTTTTATTGAGAAATTGATTTTGTAATATTATAAATTTGTTCAGGCAAAAAGAAGAGGAAAATAAGAGGAACAAAATGGCTGCTCTAGCTGCTGTTAAAGCGGCTAAAACTGCTATTACTGTACCAATGGAGACAAAATATTTGCCTTCCATTGCATCAAAAACTGTGATAAATCTTGCAAACGATGATAAAGCATTAAAGATCTCCAAAGAAATGTAAATCTTGTTATATATAAAATAAAATTTTGTCTTTAATAGTTATATATCATAAAGTTTAATATTAAAGTAATAGTTATATTACTTTTATAATTTAATATAGTAAAATGCCAAAAATAAATATATTTTTCTATGTTTAAAACATCTAATATGAGAGCTTTTCAGCAAAAGACACAAATTGACACAAAAGTCATCTTGTCCTTGTTCGATCAGTAAGAAATAAAAATAGAATGATTCTTGTGTCAATTTGTGCCTCTGCTGGAAAATTCCTTATATATATATATCAATGCTCAGATGTATACATTTATTGTGATATTTTAATATTTTTAGAAAAACACCGACAGTGGATCGTTCTACAAAACCTTCGTTATTGACGAGCAACGGATTATCATTGCGCGACATTATTCTGCCGACCAAATTAATGCACAACTTTCTGACGCTTGCTTTCAACAACACAACAAGCAATAAAGAAACATGTGGTATTCTGGCTGGGCGATTGGAGCGAAATAAATTGATGGTAACACATTTATTGATACCAGAACAAACTGGAACTCCAGATTCTTGTACTACACATAACGAAGAAGATATCTTCGATTATCAAGATCAGCATAATCTTATCACTCTCGGTTGGATTCATGTACGTAAGATTTACTTTGTATATTCATTTATAACTTTATTTTATTGAAAAATTGCAAAAAGATTTATTTATTTATTTTTGATTTGTTTATCTTAAATATGTAATTGTGTTACGTAGACCCATCCTACGCAGACTGCATTTTTATCAAGCGTAGATCTTCACACGCACTGTGCTTATCAGTTGATGATGGCAGAAGCTATAGCGATAGTTTGTGCACCGAAATATGATGAGTATGTATGAAAAATATATTTTGTATATTTTGTATCATACTAAATCTTTCAAAGAATTTTAATCATTAAATATTCAACTGAATTATGAACCAATCTCTTTAATATACATGCTTCCTCTTTAAATTCTTTAAATATAAATTTTACGATTACTTGTTTTAATTTTACTTGTTGTAATTTTTTATTTTTCATAAAACTTATTAATTACTTCAGTTATTTGAAATTTATTTGCGTAAGTTTTCCTACATACAAATATTAAAAGATAAATAGGAATAAAATATAATTGTTTTTTAATTATTAATTTAGAATTAAATTAAAATTTGTTTTGTATTTGCTATAATTTTTATGAGAAATGGAATTTTTTTACAGAACAGGGTTCTTTATCTTAACACCCGATTATGGCTTGGATTTTATCGCAAATTGCAGAGAAACAGGATTTCATCCACATCCTACTGAACCACCACTATATACAGTAAATATATCATAGTTGATCTATTCAATAACATTTTTAACAATGTTAATTAAAGTTTTAATGATTAATAATAAAACGTTGAACTAGTCAATTTAGAAAAAAATGTAATATTGATACTATACAGTAGTAAAATAAATAGATAAATGTTAATAATATATTTAACAATTTTGGCTTGTATTCTGAACTCATATTGTATGCATTTTAACTGTTTTAGAAAGCAAGACACTACAAATTGGATGTAATGGCACTCCAAGTCGTGGATTTACGAAGAAAATGATATATCTCAGACACAAGATAATTATATGTTTTACTGAAAAATATTTTTAATTAATTTCTTTTGGAAAATAGCAATTTATAATAAAAATCGCGAATCTCTTATTACGCAATTAGTACATAATTACACAATATTGAAAATCTATGACCAGTGAACAATTAATTTAATCAATGAAAATAATATGAAATGTATTAATATTTTTAAAAATGCGTTATATTCAACGTTTACAACGTTTAGGATTTAATATATGATTAGCAAACAGACAGAAGATACATAAGAAAAATCATTACAAATTATCATATCGGAAGTTAATATGAAATTATTATAATAAATTAATAATTATTAACTTCCGAATTACAAAACAAAACATTTGCATGTTTGATAATAGCAGTGTAGAAATACAAATAATATATTTGTATTTAATATTTTCTTAATTTTAATTAAAAAAGCTTTATTATAAATACATTTACAATTATCAAAAAAGCGAAATCAAATGTGCATTTAAGTACATAATATAATATTTGTTATGTTAATATTTTATCTTGTTACTTATGTGTATACTATAGTATAAAATTTGATATTTTGTTTTGTTGTTTTTATATTATAATACATTCTTTTAATTTCTGCTTGAAATATATTTCTAAAAAAGATATAGAATACATTTTACAGATTTTTCATGCTTTTATGTTAAATGAAGAGATAAAGTTTAATAATAAATATATTATTTTCGTAATTAATCAGCACTTTAACTTCATTTTAAATATTTAACCATTTTAATTTTTTATTATTAAACTTAATTTTTTATTTAAATATTACGTTTAATAAATTTTTTGTTTATTATGTAATTTCTTGTTTGTAAATCATCGATTTAAACAAATTTCAAGTTAAAATAGATATCTTACTATTTTGCATAAAAGGTGCTACTTAAAGTTCATCGTGCCTTTTTGAAAATAACAAGTGTTCACAAAAAATATTACATTCTAATATCTTGTGTAAAAATATATTACAAGATGAACGGAAGACATCACATCAGGCAGAATGCTTTGTATATATTAATCTTACTGAAAAATAATGATAGGTGGGATATATACGAATTAGAATTATTTATTTATCTTGTTTTAATTATATTAATCGTTTATTCATAATTAAATAATTACACATAAGAATAAAAAAACCCACTGAATATATTATGAAAATAGATTTATTTATAAACCTTCCCTTAAAAATGAGATGTCTTAAAAAATAAATTAGCAGACGTTTTGTAAAATTTATCTACAGAGAGGGATAAAGATTCATTCATCTATTTGATCTTTTCTCATATTTATCTACAACATGATGAGTAAATAACTATCTTACAGTAATGAAAAATTACCAGTGGTAATTGTTCAATGTGTTTGTAATTAACCTTTCTTCGTAACAATGAGTGGACCCACATTGTCATTGCATTCTTTGTTATGACGTCCATGAGTACCGTCACAGTATGGCCACTATGAATAAAAAATGATTAAGTATGAGACATATATGTGAAAGATCTTATTTTATATCAATACTTAAAAAAATTATTTTAGAGAATATGTAAGTAATGGATATTCATAAAAACAATCTTCTAACTAAAAAATAATTAGGAATAATTTTTGATTGATTTAATCACTTGTTTATGTCTCCTTGTAAAAAACAAAATGAAATATTAAGTTGCATAATTTTTTCTGATCTAGGATTTCGACTCCTATACAAAAAGAACTTACATTTTCAGACCTCCAACAGCGACAAAATACAGCTTTTTCAGAGATATCTTCGATATCAACAGTGTCCACTACTTTTGAAATATCTTTTTTTACTTTGAGATTAACACGACCATGTGGCTATAAAATAATTAATTTACATTATATTGCATGGAAGTAGAAAAATTAATGAAATTATAAATATATCATTAAAATTATTATAAAAATATTTTCCTTCTTACATAAGTGTTATTTTCTTAATAATAGTGATTGAACATCATATTAATATGTATATACATTTTACTAAATATTATGTACTTTTAAAATATTTACTTTATTATTTTTATACATTACATTGATACATTCGGTTTTCTTTCAAAGAG